ATTTCCTGTTGTTTTCTGTACTGAAATTTCCAGAAGAGTCAATTTTGGAGAGACTGCAATATATACAGGGATGCTTAATCAATGAATGATAACAGTAATTCATAGTCTGGTCATATTCCGTACTAAAAAGTCTGAGAGTACTTTATAAATACTTTTATAGATTAGGCCTTAGTAAATCCACACCAATATGGTTCAACATGGAGATACAAGATTGGGAGAGAGTATCATTTGATTAGAACGTGGGTACCAAAATTAAAGTACAAACAATTTTTATTTGAACTGATTCATGATTGAGATTGATAAAAGATTTGTCTGCAGATAGGGAAACATCAAATATTTTGCAGCTGTTTCAATTTTTGGCAGAATGAAATGAAAAATTGCAATAATGGAAGACTTTTAAGAGGATAATTCAGTTTCAATTCAATATCTTTAAAGGCTCCATTGTAATAAATTTTGAATTATTCTTTCTGCAACTGGAAAGATCTACTGAGGTTGGGATAGGGCAAAAAAATCAAGATGGCATCCACAACAGAGGTGGGTTGCTGCTGGTTCAGCCTGGATCAGCTGAACTGGTAGGAGAGCAGTGATAGGCTCTGCCCACCCACCCAGATTCTTCTGTGCATGCACAAATAATTGCATGCGAACTGGTAGTAGAAAAATTGGCAGCCCACCTCTTATCCACAACCATATGTAATGAGCCTGACGACTATTGATTCCTAATTGGGAATTTTATATCTGCCACTATTATGCAGAATTTTTAAAAATAATCCCAGACCACCTATGGGATTTGTCAACCTTGAGCCCATATTGTGAGTGTTGAGAGTTGAGTTGAATTTCAACCTTTTGGAAAGACCAGAACAGGACTCTAACATTTCATTAGCATAGGAGAAAGCAGAGGTTCAAGTTATTTTATGGTCATGGGTAAGAAGCCAAGAGCTGAGAAAATGATTGTAGAAGCAAAGTTCCACACCCCCAAAAAGCTCTAATAGGATGAGAGTTATATAAAGTTACATAGTTTAAGTAAACATAGTTTGAATAATCATATTTTTTGTAAATAAAATCCCATTAGACTATTAACTTTTCCCTGGCATTTTCTGTACATGTTATATAATGCCTTTACAGAAGACATTGACATAGTAGTTAAAAGCATCAGGCTGGAAACTGGGAAAAAGTGAATTTAAAACTGTACACATGAAGACAAGAAGGTGATTTGGGCACAGTTAGTGCCACACAGTTCTTGGAACAAGGCAAAGGCAAACTATTGCCAAAATCTGCCAAGTAAACTCTAGCTGTGTGCAGGTGGTCACCAGCAGTCAAACTAACTGAAGACTGAACTGAAATTCCCCCAAGCAAATGAGATTTTAAACCTCTCCCAAGGCTACAAAATGGTTGGAAATAATCTAATCTGATTCACTGTTCTGAAGTTAGTTATTGCTTCAATTTGTGGTTCTGCTTCATTGAAGTGATTTAATTGAAAATCTTTTTCATAAGAATTCTATTTGTGATAATGTTTACAGCTCAACAATCTATTCAGAATTATTAGATATAGTCACTTCAGGAGCAAAATCAAGGATCCGGGCATCTACAGAGGATGTCCAAAAAGTCAAGATAGTGGCTACATCTATACAATCAAAACTCCATCCATTTTAAGGGACAGATCTTGGATCTCATGATTGCAGTTGCCACCTTGATATTTTTAATTCCAAATCTTCTATAGATGCATCTGCCCAGAGCTTCAATGGTCCAAACTGCTAGATCGACAGGAACTGGAACAAGACACAGGAACTCACCCCATCATATAATGCTTGGATTTCGAACCTGGGCTGTCAGTTTTCCAGCTGATAAGCTAAGCATCTTTAACCACTGTTTTCCCTTGATTATATTTAATTCTTTATAATACAGTGACTGCAGCCAGGAAATTAAAATATATTTTCTCCTTGGGAAGAAAGCTAAGGCAAAACTAAACAACATACTAAAAAGCAGAGACAACACCTTGCTGATAAAAGTCTGTATAGTCAAAGCTATGGTTTTATAGTGGTAATGTATGAGTATGAGTGTTGAACCATAAGAAGCACTGAAGAATGGATGTTTTCAAATTGTGTTGGAGAAGACCATTTAGTGTCCCTTGGACTACAAGGTCATATCAGTAATCCTAAAGGAAATTGTTACGTCGCCATGACCATGGCCGGGAACGTCAATCATGTAATTGGCAAGTGCTGATTGGTCCAGACGCAACTGCAGTCTGGAGGGAAGATTCCAGGCTTCCCATTGGTTAACTGTTTGACAGCTAGGCTATAATTGTTGTTCATTCGCTGTTAGTTCTTAAAATAAAGCAGTTGTTCCAGCAATCGGTCTCTGTGCCTTCCCTCAGAGCTCAGACTATAGCAGCAATAATCCTTGACTGTTCGTTGAAGACAAGATATTGAAGCTGAAGTTCAAATACTTTGGCCACCAAATGAGAAAAGAGGACTCAATGGAAAAGACCCTGCTGTTAGGAAAGGTAGAGGAAAAAGAAAAAGGCAGGAGAAGGAAGAGATAGTTAGATAGTGTCATCAATGCAATGAACATGAATTTGGGCAAACTTTGACAAATAGTGGACATCAAGAGGCCTGAGGTCAATCGGATATGGCTTAGTGACTGAACAACAAATGCTTTCTTCCCACTTTTCTAACTGAATCATAAACTTACTAAATCCTTATTTTAAGCATATGGCTTGCTGGCTTCTGGCTCATAGTTAACTTGTGAGCTATGATGGTGTGGTCAAACATATGCTTTCCCTGCCTTCTGTTCTTACAGGATTGCTTTTGATCATGCCTATTAGATATTTGCACATCTGACAGGTTCATTTGGTGCATGAGGTCATTTGCTTGAGATGATGTATCTCTATGTGATAGAAAAGCATGTTCTTTGTAAATCTAGACTTAGATCAAAGAATGTATGTATATACCATGTTTTCCCCAAAATAAGACAGGGTCTTATTTTCTTTTGCCCCACGAAATATGACGTTGGACTTATTTTAGGGGAAGGGCTTATTGTTTTGGGGTTGCCAGGCAGCTGCTCCCTTGCAAACTGGCTCCCAAAGAGCCGGCCAAAGCCTCAGGGGTGAAGCAGCCATGAGGTGACCATGCTCATGAGCAACCGCCCCGCAAGACTACTTGGGGGGGGGTGTTATCTGTATCCTCAGAGACACCTGATGAATGGACGTGGAACCTTCCGGTGAAAGGAGTGCATGGTAAACATGAGACAAGTCGCATTGTATTCCTCCCTCTCTGTTGAAGGAGAGCTGTTGTCAACCATCCCTTTCAGTCATCTGGAAAAGAAAGATTTCTGAACATTTGCTTTGCCAAGAGTTTACTTTACTGAAGCTTAAATGATTACAGAGGTAGCATAAGCTGAATCGGAAGTTTTCCTGTGCAAGCAACACAAAGGAAGTTCCCTCTCCCCCCCACCATCCCACTATCTCCCAGTTATCTGCAAATGTCCAAACAGATGCTTATATATCATTCAAAAAATAAGTGCTTGGTTGCCAGCTCTGCATATCGTTAATGACCTTGGCTGGCTGGAGCTTCTCACATGGCTCATCTGGGCTTCCATCCTCCTCTTTCTTCACATTCAAATCTCCCCCCCCCCCCCCCCGGCCACATGCTAATGTCTGGGTGCCAGCTGATGAAGGTTGGATAGATGAGATGCAGCCGTGACAACTGTTCAATATTAACATAGATGGCCTCTTTGACTCCTCTTTCAAACCAGTAGTCCCCACTCTCCAGAATGAACTTTGCTGTCTTCAAAAAAGTGACCCTTGTCTTTCAGATGCAGATGGACTGCTGAATCCTGCCCTCATGGGTTTGTTATCTGGTGTTGCGCCATATGTTTGTGAAGTGGTTGCTTTGTTTCCCCAACGTATAGATCTGCACATGTGTCACTGTATTGCTCTGCTTGTGTCTGAATGTTTATCCTTGGGGTGGACCAGCTGCTGTCTTAATGTAACCCTGGGCTTAAAATATGCACATAAGTGTATACACTCTTAAATAGAAGTGAATTCACCTTTATATTTCCTCGAAAATAATTTCAAATATTTCACACTGTAGGCAACCCTTCAAAAGCAGTTTAAAAATGAGGACAATTGCCTTCCTCTTCCACTGAACTCATAAAGCTAAGAATTTAGTGTGGATTCCCAGGAGGGAGGGAGCAAAAGACAGTGAGGTTTGTGCAGTGGTGGGATTTTATTATACATTAATTAAGTTGCTCAATAAAAGCAATAATAAAATATATTTGTAAAATACATAGTTTGGTTATATTGTAAAAAATGTAGGTTCCTATCCTTGTGCAAATATTGTTTTAATTTCTTGATAACATAGGTTTAGTAGTCTGATCTCAAAGTTTTTCATACAAAACTTTTCCCACTAACGTTATTGTTTAAATTGAATTATAGAATTGGAATAAATTCATGTCCCTTGTATGGTTTTATTTTTTTCCCTGCTGATCCAAATATTGCTACAAAAAGTAGAAATGGTATAAAGAAATATTTTTATTAAATTTGAAAAAAGCAATAAATATTTAATTCAAACTGGTGTAATAATATTGTACATCACAAACAGTTGGAACCTTTTCTTGTATTGGTCAGTACTACTGGTTCTTAATAGTTTGCATGTTTATGATACATATAACAAAACACTGCAATGCAATCCCATGTACTTTTTTACAATTGCTATTAAAGTCACAGATATATTAAAAGACAGATTTTAAACAAGTTGTTGTTCAGTTTCAATATTACATATGATCTTGCATATGCCCATTCAAAAAGATCTCATGCTCTCCTAGGAAACTAGGCAGAAGACTACAGCCTAGATTATGTTTACATTTTAAAGGGCAAATCATTATATTTTCTTCACAGCTTCTATTTTCAGAGACAACAGATTAAACTGATATATGGCGAGTGAAGGGAAATGCCCAATATTTTTGGCTCCTTATTGTTTTGTCCATAAATGTCCAGCAGCTGTTTATCCGGCAGAATTGAATATATAAATCAGGATTATAATTTTGTTTGCAATTATGTCACCAACTGAAGGGCAGACATGCATTCCTTTGGAGCTTAAACCTCAAAAGATAGAGAGAAAGAAGGGACAGTTGAAATTCATGAAGTAGAAGTATTCTTCCTGGTTTCAAAGAGATCAATAAATATATTTTAAACAACATGAATTTTAAGTCATTTATTTGCTATGGGTTTATAGAGAATAAAAACCTTTTTTCTAGACAAAAGGGGCGTCATGGTGGCTCAGTGGTTAAGATGCTGGGCTCATCCACTGAAAATTGGTAGCCCAGGTTCGAGACCTGAGTGCCACACAATGGGGTGTTTCCTGTCCTTGCCCATGCCAACCTAGCAGTTTGAAAGCATGCAAATGTGAATAGATAAATAGGTACCACTTTGATGGGAAGGTAACAGTGCTCTGCGATGTCATGCTGGCACTCCATTTTAGATCTGCCATTCATCTTCTTACCCCATTTTCTTTTGACTGCTCTTCTTGTTCTCTTTATCGGACAGCAATTCTGATAATCCTTTAGTGTCTTTTATTACTGATAACTGTGCATGGAATTTCCTGCTCTCAACATTTATTTTACACCTTTTCTTATGAAGGTGTAAGTTTCTTATCTTAGTTTTGCTCTTGCTCCATATCTCCATCAGATATGGAGCTCTTACTCCATATCTGCCCTATCCACTTGGATAACCCAGGAGATACCTGTTGTAGGTACAGATGTGGATGACTTTAATATCATAGACCAATCTGCCTGTGTCCATGATGGGTCCATATTATGGAACAAATTGCAGTTTGTATTCTTAAGAAGTAAAACAATATTAAGAAGTAAAGTTTGTAGGTTGCTCAAAGCATGGATGTCAGTTCTCCTAGTCACTTACTCTCACATATTTGCTCTTCCCCCTCTCTAAACTAATTCTTGATTTCTAAAAATCATATGTTGCCCCTTTAGAATGTTCTTTTCAGCTTTACAAATGCTTTTAAATGGAGTTTAGTTCACAAATGTCATTATACAGTAATAAATGCACACAGACATTCATATGAGGCCTTGATTAGCAATGTCCTTTCTTCCCTTCCCCTTCCCATTTTGTGTTCCATTTTCAGCTGATTGTGAGCCTGCAGGCAGGGATATTACATAGTTTAACCTATCTATCACACTTGGTATATTTTAAGCTGTTCTAAAATGGTAAATAATGAAGACAATTGTGCTGAAGACTGATTTCAGTGCAGTACAAATTTCCACACAGCTGCAGGTTTCATTTATATCAACAAACTGCAGAGCTTTACACCCCATCCACTCAGGAACTCCAAATGTGCTTTTATAGTTCAAATGCTCTTCCCTTTCCTAACCAAGATATGGTCCCTATGTTCACTTAGCTGCCAACTAAGATGCTGTCTTACTAAGATAGAATATGTCTGTTTTCAGCATTCAAGGTCTATAGTGATCATCTGGGAGGGAGGGACAGTGGGACAGAGGAGCAGGGGGACAGAACTCACTTGATTGGGTTGGAATTCTAATTTCTTCACTGCTGCTTCCATCTCCTCCGTCACTTACAGTTTTTATTTCAATGAGGTAATCATCTTCCAAAGGTACTAGCAGTTCAGCGGAGGTAATGTTTGTCTTTAAGATATGAGTGGTGCTTTGTCGATTTTGCCTATACAAAATCTAAATATAAAAGGAGAGAAGGCGGAACTGGTTATATAGGTTCCTTTTGTTTATATACGTTTCTCATTTATTTTTAAAGATTCATCTTCAGCTCATGAAACAAAACATAAAATTCAAAAATCCCACTAGGATCATTCTGGAAAAAATAATACTCTGTTCCTGTTGCTTATAAGTGCTCTGTATGAATTCAGTGGGGCTATAAGGAGATGTTCAGGGTGCCTGCCCGTTGTTCACACAATGGCACATTTATTTGCATTGGCATCCTAAGCCATGACAAATATATGAAGGTAACAATAGTATGGTATTTGGACCATTATAGCTACATGCACCTTTGGCACATTTTGAAAATATGTTCTGGACATCACTGAAAACCAACTGTGGTGACACGAATCATCAGGCACATCATGTTGGCAGTGTTTGCCTTTTTTGTCTTTGTAAGTGAAAACACTTTCTCTTCCTGGTGACTGTTAACACAACTGCTTGCTTTCACTCTTTATTTTTTTTCTATATTGGACTGATATTTTCTTACTCCTATGGATGCACATGAAGTGAATCATTGCCTCAATTGTCACATTCTTGGGGCATACTATATTTGTGTATAAGTGGAAACAAATACCAATAACGATCACCAAAATGAAGCTGGTGAAGGTAACATTATTTCCGACATGCTAATTCTCTATTAAGCAATGGCGATATTTTTATGTTTTATTCAAATTCATAAGAGCCGTATGTGATCTGAGAAGTGTCACAATTTAGTCACCTATTTAGCTCATTAACATCTTTTGCTAATGTGAGCAACAGCATATGAAAATCTTTTCCAATTGTGACATGCTTCGACAGTGTGAACGTCTAACTCCCAGATTTTTTTTAACAATAGTCATGCTAATCAGAGAATTCTAGGAGTTAGACTACACACCTTAAGGATATTCAGATTTGAGAAAGCTACCCTGGATGCAATAAAGTGAGATAGCATATTTTCATATATTTGTGGGTGATTTTCTCTACAGGTATTAACAACCACAACAGAGAAGATACTTCACCCCTTTTTAAAATTAGATTCCTCTAATGAACAATGGGATGTGGGTAAACAAGGAACACAACTTTGTGTGAACAGTTTATTCCTACAAAACAGTTGCATTAGTGTTTGACACCTGGAATTTGTTGCATACATTTCTATTATAAAACACAGTCAGCAAAATAAACTCAGGATGTCTGAAGACTGTTGTCTTCTGGCAATAGGGTACAACCAGTGAATATTTATTTTCTGTTCCCAGTTTGTGATCACTCATAACCTCTGGCATCCAAGCTTTCATGAGCTTGGTTTCTCCTTTATAATTACTAGAATTCTCAGCCAGCATGGGTAGCTCCACCACAAGACAAAATTCTGAACAACGTTTGCCTTTTGAAACAGCAGCTTTTTGTCTTGTTATTTCATAATCTCTGTTTTCTGTGTCCTCACTTTGATATAAATTTTTGCACTGACAAAATGAATTTGTTTGAAGTGTCTGGAATACAAACTAGCCCAACATTATTATGTAACTTTATAAATTTTGTACTACCTGCTCCAAATATCAACATGGTTTTATGTAGTCAACAACCTTTTAAGAACAATAGATCACAAGAAAGATAGAGACTTGGTTAATTCAAACTATCATTACTCATGTACGTAACATTTACTAGGATCTTCATGACAATCTTACTTTATAGCCTAGGACATCGGACTCATTTTCCATTGTTTTCACTTGGTCCCAGTTCAAGCATATTTTTGAATTGGTAAGTCGCCAGACTATGTTTGCTGGCTGCTGACTTGGAGCTATGAAAAAAACAACATAATATTCAGGAAATACTTATTTTTCATAATGCTACTGATAAACGGTTGGCAAAATCATCTGAGTTACAGTAAACCAAGTCATTCTTGGAACCCTTTCATTACAAATTATTTTTGCTATATAAGGTGTTTCTAGGGCTGTTCAGAACTGAGGACATATTATTGATATGGAAATTGCGTAAAGATATGTGAACTATTGTCATTATTGCCCACAATTTGGCAGTTACTTCTTTCACTGTCCACCTGTTGGGTTTCATTAAGAGATTCACATACCCTTCGACTGTCAATATCTATAAGAGCAGAAGGTATTACTGGAGCTCACCTGCTTTGATGGGGAATTTTTTTCATTCTCATTCTTGGCTTTTTCTCTTACTTATAGTATGTATTCTTGCTTGGACATGATAGCAAGAAGTGATAGCTTCTTCTGATTGTCCCAGAAGAATGGGACATAAAGGAATAATTAAAAAAACTAATCAAGGAGAGAGACAACCTGGAATTAAGGAGAAACTTCCTAACAGTGAAGACAATTAATCAGTAGAACAGTTTGCCTTCATAAGTTGTAGGGGCTTCATCACTGAAGGTGTTTAAGAAAAGACTGGACACCCATCTGTCTGAAATGGTACAGGGTCTTCTGCTTGGACAGGGGGTTGAACTAGAAGATCTCCAAGTCCCTTCCAGCTCTCTTCTGATTGATTGGATCTGGACAATTCTCACTTGGCACACTGTGGATTTAGCTAGGTCTCTTTTATTACTGAGATTTTTTTTTATAAAAAAAAACATCTTTATAAAGAATTAACTAGGAGAAAAATATGGAACTATACTACTAAATGTAATGATGGCAGATCTAAGAAGTGCTTCCTGCTAATCCATGCAGCTGTGAAACTAAGGAGGGAAACAATTTACAATGACTGCAAGCTCTGCCTGTTGTTTCTGTGGTCAATATTTGGAATATAAATGAAGAGGAACTTGTTTGTTTATACTGGTATGGTGTGTAGGAAATTTTGCCTTCTAGGAAAAAGCTTGGAACATCCATGTAGGTAGCAGCAGGAAGTCTCCTACAGATGGATGTAAGTTCACATGAAAGTAGCTCAGACCTTCATGGTTTAATATAAGCCTAAAATAACAAAGTCTTCTGAATCTACCTCCTCCCAAACTCTGCATGAATGCTAGTTTCCTTATGCAATTGTGTCTGCCTTTTCTTCGGATCCAGACCAAGATTAATTTAGTCCAAACTTTTATTTAATCATTTGTACCAACAACTGAAATCAAAACAGCATGGCTTTTTGTAAATTTATAGATACTTATATTATTAATGTATTTGGAGCATTTCCACATACATTCTTACATTCCTAAATTTAGGTTTTCTGAAAACCTTATAAAATTGGATAAGATAAAATTAGCCAAAATGGCCATTAAAATGATTCCTTTTTGTCCATGTGAAGACTGACCACAAGTTTACAGCTGGGAGAAAAAGAATGTTTATAACTAATTTTGAAAGTATATTGGCCCAAATTATATAATTCATAGTTTGTACATGTTTTTCCCCCAAGGATAAGGTTGACTGACAAAATAAATATTTCAGATTCATGAATCTCATAGTAGATAACTTGGCACAGGATGGCTGCTTGCACAATATTTAAATAAAGAAAATGTATAGTTTTATACACAGTTACACAAAGTTCAATGCAAAACATAACAGTCACTCCCATATATACACTGACTCTCTCTCTCCCTCTCTCCCTGTGTCTCTGTGTGTCTGTATGTGTCTTATGTAAATGCAGAATTATCTATTATCTAGATGATAGAAAAATAAAATAGAACACAGACTGCGCTCAAGTTATTCTTGTTGATGCCATCCAGCTATAGCCTATGGGTAAACTTCCAGCTTGCCACTTAACATTAACTGCAATTGGATGAAAAATAAGAGATCTTCATCCAGAGCTAGGACACACAGTTACTCTGTTCAAGCATAATCTCAGTCAGTACAATGTTCCTGTGAAGCCCCTATCAATTATTCAAAGCTTTCCTTTATGGATCTGGATAATATTTGCTTCTTTCCTCACATAGTTACCCTTATAACTTAGTATTCTCAAATGCCATGCAGTTGGAAGAAAGGTGGAACATTTTATATAGTATCTTACATGTAATACATATTCCTTGGTTGCATGGTTATATAACAGCACATTACTCCTCCTGATTAGCTATTAATTGCAGCTGACAAATTACATAAGTTTTCAAGGACCCCCCCCCCCCAAAAAAAAAAAAGTTCAGTAGCCTTTTGAACAGGACCTTTGGGGCATCCCTGACCTGGATGACTGAGAACTTCCATAGACATTTACATGAATCCACAAATGCTTCACATTCTTCTTCATCATCATCATCATCATCATCATCATCATCATCATCATCATTGTGACTTGATTGATTGATGACACTTCTGTATTCTTCATTAAAATATCATAGATTTAGTCTTAATATAAAACTCATTTTTGACCTTTTTCTCCCCACTTTTTATATATTCTTTCCATGGAATAGATGAAACAATATTTTTTCTTCTTTGTCACATTTTACTACAAGTGCATGGTCTACTTTTTTCAGATCAAACAAATGTTAGTCCATTAATTGCAACAGGAATTGACCAACAATAGCAGTAGACAGCTTGTCACCCAAGCCTGACATCATGGTCTGAAAGAGTAACTGGCCCAAAGTCACCCAGTTGGCTTTCATACCTATGGCAGGATTACAACTAACAGTCTTCTGGTTATCAGTCTTATGCCTTAAACACTAGAAGAAACTGACTCAAAGAACAATAGATAGATATGTAATAGTTGAATATAAATATATATATATATATATATATATATATATATATATATATATATATATATATA